GTATAGGTAATCATACGATTTCGAGTTCAATTTGGAATTAATTTACACCAGTGAGTTTTTCAAAAAAGCTGTGGAGGAAATGCTGGAAGATCTTTCTTGAAACCATTTTTTCTCATTCGAAAAAACTTTTTTCAAAGTTTCCGCACTAAATTTTCGTTATCATTTTACATCATAATCTAGAATTACGATGTGTAATTTGCACTGGTGTTACACTTGAACTGCACTGACTGCTCTCAGCCAATCAGTCATGAGAATGTGAAGAGTAAGAGATCGGAGTTGCTCATCGCGTCGCGTGGGTGTTTTCGCGCGTGGAGGATGAAAATGCGTGTAAAGCCGCTTAGGGCGTCTCCGTGAGAAAAATCGTTAAAAAGCGTCAGAGAAGCTGGCTATTTCTTGACCGTGACACTGCTGGGATTTTCGACGCCAGGAGTGACCTAAAAACAACTTGGGAGTGTTTACCTTGGCAATAAGGTGTGTATGGAGAGTAATTCTCTTATCCTTCATCCACGCGTGTTCACTCGTGTTGGTGTAAAGTAACAACTAAGGCCCGGTTCATAAGTCGCATTTCTGCCGTGTCGAATTCAATTCAACGAATTAAATTCGACAGAAATTCGACGTCTGAATCGGCTGCCGCATTTCTGCCGCACGTTCGACTGGTCTTGTCGCATTATCTGACAGAAATGCGACACCGATTCAGACGTCGAATTTCGGCCGTGTCGAATCTAATGCATACATTATGTTAATGTATTGAGCATGCGTAAATGTTTTCCCGTCAAAGAAAAAGAGGAAACTTGGCCATTCTCGACCCAATGCAACCTGAACATATTGCAACACATACTGCTCCGTTGTCAGCCTTCTCCTTCTCGTTCCATTGGCGATCAATTTTTCGCAAAATTAAAGTCCTTCGTCGCTCAGTATTTTCGTCCGCCATATTGAATACCCTCCGTTTAAAACATTTTCCGCTGGCCGATATACCTGACAGTACAAATTCTGAATTAAGTGCGACACAAGTGCGACGTATGAATCGACAGTCAATCGCATTTCTGCCGCACTTAATTGAATTGAATTCGACACGGCAGAAATGCGACGTATGAACTGGGCCTAAGACTGCCTCCGAGATTAGAAACACTACAACTCATTCACTTCACACGTGGGAATCACAGATGATACCACAATTCCTAACTTGAGTAAAAAACAAATCACAGGTGGGTAATTTGTAACAAATCAGTCCAATAAAATCTACTGTTAGGAACTCACTCTTGGACAGAAAAAAAAAAAAAAACAACAACAACCCATGCCCGGCCATTAGCGGAAGATCCAATCCAGGGGTTATTGATTAGTCTCAGCCATATAACGTGGCATCTACCGTCAAACTTCCAAAAACAGCCTCGACCCCACCCAGAAAATAAGATAAAGAAGGTATAGGACTCTTGAAGGATGATAAATTAATTTCAATCTGTAGCTCCCCCACAATGCAGAAGTATTATGTTTAGAGTGACCAAAACTGACGACTAAAAAATCAAATGCAGTCTTTATTTGCATCCGTGTAAACAAAGTAATAGTCGGGCAATATTCTCTTGTCATCTTACTGGTGCAAAATGTTTGAAAAGCGCCGTGACTGATAGTATAAGCAACTTTGTTACAATTTTTGCAATTATCGCACAAAGTTGAACTCATTTCTACCTCTTGATAATACACTCAACAATGTCTCTTAATTGATTTATAAGACTCAAAAAATCTGAAAATAAGTCCCTGCCAAATCATGTTTCAGTAAGCACAAAAGTCGTTCCGTGTAACAGCAAGCCCGCTACATCCTTGAAAATACACTGAAGCAGAAGTCTTGAAAATATAAAGGTTTGGGCCTTATCTTATAATGTTTGGAATATGACGGTAGGATAATCTGTCCCGTGTGTTTGGTTGACCTGAAATAGGGAAGCGACAAAAAACTAAGGGTATTTAAAAATACATAGCTACACATGTGTATGCGAATTGGAAATTAAACGACAGTTTCTTTCTCGATTGGCACCATCACTGCCCCACCGTGTTGCAATAGTTCTTCATGTAATGATATTGTCTCGGTATTGTTGTTTCGTTGTATCCATTCATCACTTTTATCCTTCCTGTCGCCCCAGGACGCACACAGCTTGTTGATACCTAGGCGTCCTGAGGACGAATCTCTTTTGAAAAGTTCGAAAAATCCACAGCAGAATATATAGGAAAAGAATCGAATATAACCATGCCTGAAGTGCTTGGTCAGCGTGCCATAAACAATTGGATTCAAACAGCTGTGGAAATACAGCAGAGATGGAGAGAAGCTAAACAGGAAGGCTACCAGGCTTTGGTTATCTTCTAAAGCAAAATCGTGAAGAAGCCAGGCGAGCTGGGCGGGCAGCATACAAATGGCGAATAAAATCACAATTGTTGCTAGAGTTTTAATCACTTGCATGTTCTCTCGCCTTCTCTCCTGATTAGCCATGCCATCCGGGACCTGATGTCTCCCTTGACGTACTAGATCGAGGCCGATCCGTACATATGCGACAGCAATAATGGTCAGCGGAAGCATAAATTGCAGCACGGAGAGGCTGGCAGTGTAAGCTTGTCGGTATGCGAAGGAAGGCCAGACCTCAGTGCAGCCTTGTGGCTCAGCAAGTTTTGGTTTTGTCACCAGTAGCAAGGGAATGACAAGAACAAGGCCAAGCAGCCAAATTCCCAGGATCCAAAGAAGCACATAGCGATGGCTCAATTCCGGCTTGAAAGGATTCAAAATAACGTGGCACCGAAAAACAGCCATTGATGTTAGGGTGAATATGCTGAGGTTTACTGTCACAGTCATTAAAGGCCAGATCAAACGGCAAAACAGGTCGTACTGAATGTCTGCAAACATCATGTAGACGTTCGTGGGAAGGCAGACAAACAGGTACACGAGGTCACTAATGGCCAGGTTGAGGATGAAAATATCATTTGCAGTTCGGCGGTGTCGTCTCGCTGCTACAATGATTATGACGAGCAAGTTTCCAAGGAGCCCCACGATAAAAGCCACTGCGTAGAACCCCGGTTTCACTTTGTCTTCTAGCTCTATAGTTTCCGTCGGTTCAGTGATGTTTGGCATGGTTTTAAAACAGTAAGGTGTCGACAGCAGCCCAAAGAAAAGTACCCTCTTATTGAACGCTTAAACTTGAAAGTTCACAACTTTAAACTTTCCGCCAGGTCAGTAAATTGTGCCAAGCTCTTGGCTTCTGATGTACTCTTTCGATTTCGGAACAACTGAACGTCGTCGTAGTCCGGCTGTGTTGGAGAATCTGACAATAATCGTGGCTGGTGGTGAAGTTTTATATATTTATTTTTGTACAAGTTATGTGAAGTATGTAAATGAAGTTTATCCGCACGTCAGCACTGTATCTGCTATCTTAAACACACCAACAGGTCATCTGGTTAATTCTGAAAGAAATAACGTTATCATGCCGATGTAAATACAGGGTAAATAGAGTTTATTTACAGAAGATTTGTAATAATAATAAACTATTAAAAGGCGGTATAATAGGTTTCAGGGGCCGCGCACTTCACTACAACCAGAAAGGCAAAATTCTCTAGAAGGAATGAGTGTACAAAAATGATCGAGTTAAGTCCCTTTATAGTCTTCATTTAACATCAAGGTCGGTTCGAAAGCGTATTTTCCCATTTTATGTGGTAAAAAGGTCAGATTTGTTTGAACATCTGCTAGGAGTTGGAATTCACTGTGAAAACAAAAAGTTCGTTTTCCTTAGTGATAAAAGAGAAAAACCACTGTTTTGGTAACAGGCGATAGTGATCACATTCGAAGGCATCAATAGCTGCTACTAAAACTTCACGTAATTAAAACTGCAAGCTATCTCTCTGATTATTTAGGTATGCAATCTAATTAAAACATTGGGAAATCCAACAGCTAATCTTATGAGCATTTTTCGAGAAATCTTTCGGCACTGGTACGACTAAAAAATTCCATTGAAACAAGAGTTACAGCTAGAAATATGATCAAACAAGATTTTTTTACCAACTAATTGCCTTTACAAAGACTCCAAACAAGTGTATCACTTTTCTTCCTTATACAAAATCATGATATTGTCCTTATTGATCCATGTATATCGGAGGAACTATATAGACTAAAACGTTTTCATTCGTATAAAAGTTATGAACTGGCAACAAACTCAGTATTGAGCAAATGACTTGACTATAAACATCCACGCAATCGCTCTGTGGCATACATACATACACTTAATTTCAACTCGAGTAGCTCTATTGAGCTAATATCTTCGAGAAAGAAGAATTCAGAAATAAATTTAAGTATTACAAAACATAATCGAACGCTAAAATAGTAAAAGTTTATTTTCTTTCTGGCTATCTTGATATCTTCATCTAAGTGATGTTCTTGTTCTCATTGTCTAGCAGCGAGTTCCAATTGTTTGCAGCTTATTATCGGATACACTCGAGTCCATAATTTGTTATTCTTGTTCTAAGGTCACTATGTATCACATCAGTACACGGCATAGACAAACTTTATTTTGGCCGAAACCACAACCAACATAGCAAACTCGTTTTGAATCGTTCATCACCGCTACTCCAGCTGACTGTAGCAATGATTGAAAGCGCAGTTCTCCATGGGAGACTGGTTGGGAACGATATTGTGTTAATGTGATATTTCATCCGTGTTTCATCGAGTATGAAAGACTGAGTATTTCATCTTCGCATTGAGTGTACAGTCAGCTGTTTCGAGAAAGATTGTTGGAATAAAGCGCAACAGCGCGCACGTCAACCCCGAAAGTTATAGTATGGTTAGAAGAAGTAGAGAGCAACTCTGCGACACACTCTGTCAATCAGTCGTTGAATACTGTTCTGACCGCTCAGCTTAGAAATCAACGAGATCCGCAATCCCGGCCAAAAGTAGTTGGGACACTTGAGCTGTATCACGTATCCCCCTTCCCCCCTAATCAATGTTGGAAAATATCGCGTTTTTTCCAACAAAA